GAATGATGATATTAACAACGATAATGATAATGATAATAATAGTAATAAGAATAATAATGATAATAGAAACAATGATAACAGTAACAATGATAATGATAAAAAGGATAATATATACAATGATAACACCCATGAAATAACAGTAATGATAATATTAATGATAATGATAATAATGATAAAGTTAGTATTAATAATGAGGATAATAATAATGATGTTGATAAAGATAATAATGTTAATGGTAGTAATATCTAGAATAATGATAATAATAACGGTAACAATAATGATGAAGAAAATAATAATAATAATAAATATCTTAATAATTATAATTCTAATGATGATAAAGATGATGGTAATGCTGATAAAAAGGACTACAATGATAATGAAAAAAAAGATGCTAATAACGAAAATGATGATGTTTATATCAAAACAATAATAAAAACATCATAATTATAACAATGATAATGATAGCAATAAAAGAAATAGTGAAATTAATAATAGCAGTAATAACAACACTGATAATGATGATGATAATAAAGACAATAACAATGATAACAATAATAATGACAATAATAATGATAACGATAATAATAATAGATAGACTGATAATGATAATAAAAACGATAAAAATATGATAATATTTAAATTATAATGATAATAATGATAACAGTAATGATAATGATAATAATGAAAATAATAATAATTACAATAGTACTCATGATAATAACAACAATGATAATAATGATAATGATAATATCAATAATAACAGCATTGATATTACTACACCCACTAATAAATAGAAATGAATACAATAATGATGATAATAGTAATAATGAAAATGACAATATTGATAACTTCAACAATAACGATTATGTTAATAGCAATAATGACGATGATAATAATAAAGGTAATTTTAGCTATAATGATAATAGTAAGGCCAAACATTTATGATAATGGTGATTGCATGGATAATGATAATGATAAAATAAGCAATGGTGATAAAAATTATACAAATTAAAGAATAATAGATCTAAGTTAAAAGTATTTGTTATCACCGTTATCATTTACCAATAACAGAATAATAACTTGCATAAAGAAATTAGAATAATTACGGCAAGAAGTAAAAAGGGAAAAGCAGCCAGGCGCAGCTCCTGAATGGAACAGTCTGAGGAGAAAAGCAAACACAAAATACTCAACATGAATTAGCAGTCTTTGAGCATATAATCAATGTAATAATGAGATAACATCATATTTTCGCATGGAAAGCAGGAACCCGCGCGTGTATATAAAGCGGACGAGCGCGAATCCAGCCAGTCTCGGACCAGCTTCCCTGTGCATCATGAACACTCGCAGTTGCCTCGTGGTGAGTAGTCGCTCGAGGATCGCCTCGTGCTTGGCTGGGGCAAGCGGCCGACTGGAAGGGCTTTCCCATGCGTTCCTTTGCTTGCAGGTGCTGGCTGGCGTGGTGGCCATGGCGGCAGCGCAAGGCTACGGTGGTGGAGGCGGTAGCGGTGGCGGCGGCGGCGGCGGTGGGCGGTTCATCCCCATCGTGAAGGACGACCACACGCAGAACGCCTACGGCGAGAACACTTTCGAGTTCGAGGCCGCCAACGGCATCGTCCGCTACGAGTCCGGAAAGGAAAACAACGGACACGTGCAGGAGGGAGGCTGGAGGTGAGTCACGTGGTTCTCGGCCTCAGGCCGGAGCCTCGCCCCTCATTGCATGTGCCTCATGTTGTCCCAACATACTCTTAGCTTTTCTCCTTACAACACATGATCATACTCCTCCACGCACAGGTACCAGGCGCCGGAGGGCATTCCTGTGGAAATCACCTTCGTGGCCGACCAGGGTGGCTACCAGCCCCAGGGGGACCTCCTCCCCGTGGCCCCGCCTCTTCTCTACCAGAGGACGCAGTCCTTCGGAGGAGCAGCAGGAGGCGGAGGAGGAGGAGGATATGCGTGAATCCGAGAAACCTACTTAGTGATTTCTTTGCTCTTCAACCCCTTCACAGTCATCCTGAGGAGCTGGTCTCGCTGATTTTGTCGTTCATTGCTATTCACTATGTTGTTTATTAATGCATATCATATTTCCCAATTGATTAATTTAGCGAAATAAATTTTATTTACATATGCTTCTTTGTTTTCACGCGTTCATGCATTTGGGTGAGTTCAATGTCTTCCTCTCTCTGCTGGTGTATGTGTGCAGAAATCGTTGTATGCTAGATTACGTATGTATGTATAGTACATGTATGAATGTAAGCCCTCTTTTATGTATGTATGTGTATGTTTGCGCTGTAATTATTTGTTTAAGTATTGTGTTTGCAACAATCAGTGAACTTAGGTATATCTATGCCTATTTGTCTATCTGTGGTGGCAATCACTTCTGTGTAAAGCTCTGTTAATAGTCAATATGCAAGATTTTTTGTTCAGTATTTTGATTGTAAAGAAAATGCACGTCCACACATATATGTGTATATATCAATTATGAACCGTGTATACGGGTATGTTAGCCTCCCTTAGTACCAAACACATTTGATATAGATGGAAATGTTGAGACATGTGCTACTATATAATTTTCTATCCCATTTTCGTAAATTTACGCTTATAGTATTTTTCTTGCCAAATGAAGGAGCAAAGCAATGTAAAAAAAACATCCTTTCATAATCTAAGACCAAAATGCCACTGTCAAAAAAAAAAAAAAAAAAAAAAAAAAAGACCATTGCACTTGCCTTGTGTATGCTTTGCACGATTGTCAATATCCTATACTCTGATGCGCGGGCTTCCCCCTAGACTCTGATCCGGCGATCATTTGAAACATATGTTTTATATTTATATATGGCTGCAACAGTCAATCATGCAATGAAGTGTTCCTCATGGCGAGGAGCTTATTTTTACTGCTGGAATCAGCTCTCAAGCGATGGGAACCAACAGACATCTTGTAGCCAGCTTGATCTCAACCGAGTACGGCGTTAAAGTCACCCAGAACAAAGCGAATATCGATGATGACATCTGTCTGCCACAGATGCGAGTTTGGCTGAAAACGCCTCTTCCATTGAATTTATATACATCGATAAGAGCGAATGCAGCAACGAGAGACATGAAGCAAAGTGAGTGCATCGCTATGGCCCAACCAGCAATTGGTGTAAAAACGAATCACTACCTCAAGGGCCTCCTGTTTCTCCGAAATCCGCATTTTAGCCAAAGACCGCAAGGTATCCATTTCTCCTGGGTGGCCACGAGGAGGCACTTTGGGCCTCTCAAAAGTAGAGATGCCATGTGCCAGCATGAGAGACTTTCGCGGAAGTGCTCTCTTTTCCTCCCCACCAGCCAAGTTAGTACATACTTATTGAATAACAGTGCTGATGATTATGACCACCCTCTCCCTCATTGTCATACTATGGCAATGGATTTGGTATCCGCCATAGACTGGTGTCAATCATCTCTTTAAAGAGCTTTTGGGTGTGGGTGTGAGTGCCCACAGGTATGGCTGGTGTGCTGGAGACCGCCGTCTAAGGCCTGGGTAGGACTTGTTGCTGCTTGCTGTGTCTTGCTCGGCTGGAGGATCGTGAGTGCTGAACTCGGCCCTAAAGACTAAAGTGTGTAAAGAAGAGGGGGGGAAGGAAGAGTGGGGATAGGAGGAGGAAAGGAATTTTAGGAGAAGAAGAAGGAGCCGGGGCTTCACCCAGCCTGCGGGATAAGCTTGAGGTAATAGTTGGAGTAGGTTTGTTGAAAGGGGAAAAGGGTTGAGGGGCCGAGCGCCAACGGCAGACTCGCATGTTCGCCGCGCGGTCACACCCGCGCGGGTCCGTGTGGCGAGGGGAATACACCGCGACCTTGGGTGTGGGTGTGAGTGCCCACAGGTATGGCTGGTGTGCTAGAGATCGCCGGGGAGAGCCGGGGCGGCTCACCCGTCGGCTAAGGCCTGGGTAGGCCTTGTTGCTGCTTGCTGTGTCTTGCTCGGCTGGAGGATCGTGAGTGCTGAACTCGGCCCTAAAGACTAAAGTGTGTAAAGAAGAGGGGGGAAGGAAGAGTGGGGATAGGAGAAGGATAAGGAGGAGGAAAAGAATTTTAGGAGAAGAAGAAGGAGCCGGGGCTTCACCCAGCCTGCGGGGTAAGCTTAAGGTAATAGTTGGAGTAGGTTTGTTGAAAGGGGAAAAGGGTTGAGGGGCCCAGCGCCATCGGCAGACTCGCGTGTTCGCCGCGCGGCCACACCCGCGCGGGTCCGTGTGGCGAGGCGCGGCCGCTACTCGTGGCGCGGGGAATACCCCGCGACCTTGAGCGCGGCTCGCCCCGCCACAACGTTCCCACGGGGCGTGGAGCCTCGCTGTGGCGAACACGGAGCCTCTCGGCTAACTGAGGGGGCCGTGACGCTTCTTTCCTCGGCTCGCACAAACCCTTACGCTAAATGGTTTGTGGTACTGGCACGAATACTAGCAGCAAGCTCCATGTGTCGGAAACCGAAACCAGTGGGATGTCAGGGTAAGGATAAGGATGAGGGTCAACGCTATGGCAAGGATATGGTATGAGTGAGGGTGAGGGGTGAGGTGGCGGTCACAAGCATCAGGAGACGAGGTGAAGGTATTTAAAAACGGGGATAAGAGAGGGCAATACCTGGGGGAGATTACTTTATTAAAGAGATTAAAAAGGTACAGGACCACAAAAACCAAAACAACAAGTGAACAAACAGAAAGAGAACACGAGAACAACTGAACAAAAACGAGTGGATAGGGGAAGGGGAAATTCGAAAGGAATGAGAAGGTGGCTTCAAAGTGATGCGGCAAAACCCGAAAACTGCATCATTCCCTGTCCCGTGCCAAAGAAAGAGATCATGGCCTAAACCTGATCTCCAGCCGGAACGAAGGATGGAGGGTGAGTCCATCCAGCCAGTGGTGAGTCAAGCACGGAGTTTGTTGGTCTGTCTACAGGCCAACCTACCCCAAATGATGTTAAGGAGGAAGCGAGAGGCTTCCTCGCGGAGTTCAGACGTGTAATAGATCAGTCACGACCCACTACAGGGAACCGTCTGAGTGCTTCATTCAATCAGAACAAGCTGGAGTTTGTGTTTGTTAGTGTTTGCTGTTGGTGAGAGTAGAGTGTTTGTGTGTGAAGGAGAGAGTTTTTGTTTTGTTTAGATGCAGCTCGTGCGTGGGATTGCGCGTCTAGATCGACCTAGCCAACACGGGGTCCTCCACCGAGATGGAAGAACCCGTGCCGGCTCGGTCGGTCATCAGTTAGTTACTCAAGGTACACCCATTCTACCTGGGTTTACCTTGCGTGGCGTAACCTGATCCTTGTAGCGGCTCCGCGATCGATGCGCGATCGACGGCTCCTCGAGGTCAGGCAGGGAGTCCTGTGAACCGGCGCGGAAGTCCTGGGAATCGGCGGACCAATTCCCGATGCTCCCGCGCTGTCTCAGGGGTCACCTGGCAGGGAGCATGGCTCCAGCCAGGGGTCCGAGAGCCCAAGCCAGGCTTCGAGAACGCTCTCGACATCGATGTCGGAATCGCTACTGTCGTCGTCAAGAATGGTGTCATCCAATCTACGACGACGAGCTTGAGGGACAAGAGGATCCTTTTTGTCTTTCTTGGCCTGCGTGGATGGTGGTGTGGTTTGTTTGTGTTTGTGATCAGTGGTATTTGTAGAATGGCGTGCCTGTGCTGCTTTTTTTTATGTCTTCGTTGTGGCTGAGGTTGCAAAACGAGGTGTCGGTGTTGTGAGGAAGAATGAGGCTCTGGGTGAGTGTCTGTCACCTCATTTCCTGTGGTTTCTGTGCTTGTTGTGGCGTACTCAGGGATGTACAGGTTGTCGTCTTCAAAGATTTCCTCAGGGACAACAATGCTGGGGAAGCCGTTTCTTTGGAGCATAATAGGGACAATGTTTGCGAATCTTTTTGCGTTGTATTTGGCAGCGATGAGACTTACGTGTAATATGGCCTGGATTTTTGGGTTTGTGTTCGGTGTGAGGGTGCTTGTTTGGGGTTGTGTGGGTAGAGTTGTCCGAGAGGAAGTCGTGGGTCGTCTGGGTGTGCTGGTCTGAGCAGGTTGTGCAGCAGCTGTTGTTGCGTAGGAAGGGACAGTGTTGTTGTCTTGGCGGAACTCAGCTCGTTTTGCCTTTAGTATTTCCTTCCGTTTAGGGCAGGATCCACTAACTGCGACATGCGATCCCTCGCAGTTGCCGCATTTGATGGTTTCAGTGCACCTGGCAAAGAAATAACCGTCGCCGGTGCACCGAGAGCATCTCTGGGGGTGTGTGCATTGGTGTTTTTTTGTGGTGAAAGCGGTAGCAGTTTAAGCATTGGTCGATGTGAATGAAGCATTCGGGTTCCAAGTTGTAGGTGGGGACCGATGTATTGAACATCATGAGTCCCCGTGAGAGAAGTTTCTGGGCTTCCTCGGGGGATGAGACGCGAAACTTGACGATTCGCGACTCGGGCGGCTTGTAGACGTCGAGAACAGTGACACCGTTCTTGACGGAAACCTCCTGGCAGATGGACTCGCACGATCGTGAGGGGATCGTCTTGTCGATCTTTTTGGCCACGATCGTACACTTAGCCTTCATCTCGGGGGAGGGAACAGGTGAAAAGCCATGATCTTTGAGCTTTCTTTGGCCGTCGGCCGAAAGAAATGAGGTCAGGTGTTCGGGTTTGGCAACTGTCACCTTGAAGCCATTGTGGACCTTAAAGAGGTGTGTGACGCTTGTGACCGCCACCTCACTCCTCACCCTCACTCATACCATATCCTTGCCATAGCATTGACCCTCATCCTTATCCTTACCCTGACATCCCACTGGTTTCGGTTTCCGACACGTGGCGCTTGCTGCTAGTACTCGTGCCAGGACCACAAATCCTTTAGCGTAAGGGTTTGTGCGAGCCGAGGAAAGAAGCGTCACGGCCAGTGGAGTTAACCCAATCGTGGTGAGGCCGCCCGAGCCGCGCCCCTCCGGAATACCTGCGGTCGAGGGAGAGAAATCTCCTCTCGACCCGGGCGGGAGGGGCCAGCCTCTGTGTGGCCTCACTCGAGCTTCATCCTGCTTCAGCGGTGATGGTTAGCCGAGGGACAGCTCTGGAGCCAAGGTCGAGAGGCCGTGGGTCCGAGCATACCGCAGATGGCGCCAAAAACCTGCTAACTT